GTCTTCGAAATTTATATTCTTAAAACAATATGTGTATAAAATTGCCTAGCTAAGAGAGGGGCACCAATGTTTTAAGTGTGTAATGTGGTGGATGCACACTGGTGGTGGTGTTGGTGGTGGTGGGGTCTAGGTGTCCTCCCTCAGAAATTTTTGAATAGAGTAGATGCCTTTTCCTGCATTCTGGTGTATTTTAATGAGTTGTTAAACGTCCATGTTTACCTACATAAGTAAACACTAGATTTAATTAGAATTAATGGCACAACAAGAAGTAGCCTGACCAACAGCTCCACTTGTGTGAATAGAACACGCTCCACTTCTCTCACGCATCCTAACCCCCCAACCCCCGGTCAACAACTGCCAGCACTAACGTAGCACTAAGCTAGCACTAGGTAAGATGCTATACAGATGTAGCACTCTGCTGTAGATTACACAACCTAATGAACACTGTACAAAATCGGTTTAGTGTTATCATAACAAAGACTAAATTATGCAACCAGAAGTTGCAACATATATCTACATTAAACACACTAAACAAAGCTCAACTAGCTTTAAGCATTAACCTTTAATTTAACCATTAAGCATACAATGTAATGTAATTTTAACAGAAAACGGACGATTTACTTGCAGTTACCTTCATACAGACGAGCGTGGTACTTCCTGTTTATAACTGTTGTATTCAGCTGATTATGAGGTTGCACCAGTCTTTATCATCTTTTACATTTTTCCAGACAGTATTCCACCTTAAAAGCTCAAGGTAACTCTGTCTGAATTACATGTTCTCCACTGACGACGTTTAACTATTTTTTAAATGATTTTTCACGAAATCCTTCTGGTTGCAAAGATTGTAATGTAAAATCCTGGCAATGTTGTTGGAGGAAAAGGGGTGGAGCTCCTGCAGATAATGGGCGTTTACCTTATGAACAAATTGAGATCGCTGATTGGTCTATTGCTGACGTGCCTACTGGACTCATTGACAAATGGCATTGAGGATTTGACTCGTGAAAAAAAAAAACATTTTACTAAGAGTGTCATTTATTCCATATTTATTCCAAATGTATTCAATATTTTGGTGAATTATAAGAACTGAGTTTCCTTACGAAATCCTAATGATGGTTTCTGTATTTTTCAGGGGTGCTGAGTTAAATTTTAGGTGTGCTTGAGCACCCCCAAAAAGAGGCTAAAATAGTCGCTGGTTAGTGTGCATTGGTAGGTTTATGTAAACGTGCTTTATTGTTCCTAAATCAACAATGAAAGAGACACTAATGCTTCCAGAGATCATTCTAAACATGGGTTAAAGCCTGGGAGTGTTAGATCTATTAGGACATGGGTGTCAAACTCCGTTAAAAAAGGGGGCCAAAATGGAATATTTCAAACCAAAGGTCAATTTTAGTCGATGCCATAACCTCCAGTCAGAACCCTGAAATATTTTCTAAATTGCAGTTGTCTCAAAATGTGCTGCATCAGTCTCATTTGACGTTCTCTGTCGCCCTTTTTGCATCAAAATCAAAGATTACTTAAAGATTCAAGCTAATTTTTTCGTGGCTTCAGAGTTGGCCACTTCAGGAGAAGTCTGCACCAAATAAACAGTTTTTACGTAAAATGAGAAGCAATAAAAATATTTCACTTTTTAAATGTCTTCTTGGTGGGGGGGCCAGATCAGATGTTGACAAGGGCCATATTTGGCCCTCGGGCCTTCAGTTGGCCACAACTATTAGGCTTGTGGCATTTGATTAAATCACAAAATTGTTAGTTTTTGGTTAGTTTTAATTCAATTTATTAAGATTTCCAAAGCTACAAACTGAGTTGCCATACTTATAAACAGGAAAAAGCAGCCCAGTGATGATTTATTTGGGAATAAATGCGAAGAAAACACGCTAACAGGTAGCCAGCAGGAAGTCACGATTGGAGGGGGAGAATTACCCATGATGCCACGCGGCTGATAGGCATCCATTCTCACCGGCCGGCGGAAGCGCACGCCGTGCCGGGAATACACCACTTCACCTCGGGGACAGGGGGTGTCCACGGTGCGGAGAGCCACGGTAGGCGCCTCTGGTCGCGGTTTGTCCTTTCGGAACGAAAAAAACAAATAAACCGAACGAAAATTAGCGAAGAGGCTCGGCAAGGCGGCGCGAGGGACTCTTTTAACTGGAGCATCCCGGAAACAAAACAAAAATGGAGAAAAAAACAAAACGCCTCCGTTTCTGAACAGGTGTGCACGTGTCAGACTGTGCGCATGAAGGGGGGTGTAACCGTGGGTGGTGGGGGGGAAACACCGGGACGGGGAACGGTCAGTTACGAAATGAACTCGTTATGAAAGCGGGGCAATGACGTCACGTGACTGTTCGGACAGGGCAAACTTAGGTCACGTGACATCGTTTTTTTTTGTGCGTGTGAAGGAATTCCAGCAGAAAAGGCGCAAATTCAGCCCCCCGAGATTAAAACACCAGATCTAAGCAGCTCGTGAGGTAGGCATCTGATAATAACCTTAAAATGCAGATATGATGGAGCCAATAAAAACTTTATTGATAATCCAGCAAAAACAAACAGCAGTAAGTAGGCGGTGAAGGTTGATGTATTACACGTGCACTTGTAACGTTGTAAAGTTCTGATGCATGCTTTGAGTTGCAGGGGCGCTACTAAGGGGGGCTGGGAGGGGGCAAAGGCAAATATAAATTTGCATATATACAAATATAAATTTAGGAGCGCTACGAGCGTCAGTAAGTTGAGAAAATAACAAGTGGCTTTAAACTTGCTTATTTCTATAGTTCAGTGTAGCCCTTCAAATTAAAGGACAGTTTATGGCATCACACGGGCCACTGCTGAGTTATAGTTTATGCAATGTATAGAAGCTAATTTAAAAAAAGTACATACAAATAATAAATTATGACTTTTATATTTATAAAAAATGTAATCAGACATTTGTAACTTGTTTCTGTGACTTTACATCAAAGTTACAAGTTCACATGGTTTGCTTCATATTTGCCGTCACAGCAGGCTGTTTATTTTAAAAACAAAAATAACTCTGAACATGTAATATTAGGCAGGGTGTGTGTCTCTAATTGTAGCTCTAAACAACAAACATGATGGATGGGTTTAGGTTTATTTGTCATATGCAGATCATCAGAAGGTCAACAGTGCAGTGAAATGCTCAGAACGAGAAGAACCGTCTTGACTCTCCAAAAAACCAACAGGAAATACCAAATGAAGCATGCAACAACAACAATATAAAAAAAGGCGCTAAAAGCGAAAAGAAATACATCTGCAACAACATAATCCTATACAGCATGGTTCTGTTAGCTGTGTGGTTCTGTTAGCAGCGTGGTTCTGTTAGCAGCGTGGTTCTGTTAGCAGTGTGGTTCTGTTAGCAGCGTGGTTCTGTTAG